AAGGCCTATATATGTTTTCCTAGATGCAGCGATGACAGATAAACAGGTCGTTCGATCAACAGCTGAAGAGATGAAGCCAAATTGTTATGGGAAAACAAGGAAAGGAGACGTTCTACAAACAAACAAACAAACAAACAAACCAAAACAAAACAAGCAAACTAACAAACAAACGAACAAACCACAAAGCCGAACAATACAAAAAAAAAACAGAAATGTACACACACACACACATTCACATCTCTCACACACACATACAATCAACAACAACCCAACATGACAAACAGCACCACCAACAAAATAACAAACAGACAAACAAGCCAGCAAACAAACAAGCTAACAAGCAACCAACCAACACACACACAAACACAAAAACACAACAACAAATAACAATCAAACAAACAATCAAACAAACAAACACAAAACAGGCAACAACAAAAAAAAACACACACACACAATGGACGTATGTGTTTGGGTGCACACCTCTATAATACGTGTACTTCGGTAACCTAAAATCAGTTTTGCAAGCAACGCTTGCAATGAACTCAAGTATGTGCACAGTGGCAGACTGGTATCACTAATTCGAAAAAGGCTAGAAGAACTGTCTGATTCGTTGCTTTCAGCCTCCGAAAACCTGATATCTTTCTCACAGAGTTCTGATCCATCAAGTAAAAAAGATGTTGCGAATGCATGATTTCAGATGTGGGGTTCAGGGTGCAGTATGGGGCAGGCGCTCGGGAACCCGGCTACACCATAGCTGCTGCAAATGTATGTCATGTATGTAATCAGTACTGCGAGCACCGCCACCACCAGAACCACCACTACCACCACCACGCAAACCACTACTTTTCTGACCACAACTCGACTACTGCAACTACCTCTCGATGACCACGACGATGACGAAACGACGAGGACGACGACTACTGCGAAAACGAGGACGACGTCGACGATGACGAGCAGGAGGAGGAAGAGGAGGACAACTTCGACGACATTCACGACTAGTGCAATGCCTCTCGGTACTGCGACGACGACAGCGACGACGAAAAGAGCTACTTCTACATGAGCACATCAGAAACAGTGTCACTATGGTTCAGCAGGTGCTTCTTGTCCACTGTCATCGTCATCATCAGTGTCAGCATCAAAACCGTTACCACCAACATCATCATCGTGACCAGAATCGCCACCATCGTCAACGTCGAAACCAGGAGCATCATCTCCGCTTGATCACCCTAAAACCGTAAATTCCGACAACCTCAACGCTATACTAAAACCACAAACCCTAAACCCTTTGCTAAAACCCTGAACCCTAAACCCTATACTAAAACACTAAACTCTACACCCTAAAGCCCATCTCAGGCACTTCATCACCGTTCTCCGTCACCCCCTTTCCCAGCTTTTTTGGGCCCCAACTTCGTTGGAAGCTACACATGTCCCACACCCAGACTTACAGCATCAGGGTTTAGGTTTTGGGTTTTTAGGGTTTAGCATTTACGGTAGGTTTTAGGGACCAATCAGACTCTGCATCGACCTCAATTTCAAACCCACTCGCCTGTCAGGGACACTGAAGTCTCTGGCCAGTAAAGATGTGGGTAGTTCTCCAAATTAGGGTCCCTTCTGGGGTCCTTTCTTATAAGAGCGCCAAACTGTATTGGGGACCTACAAAGGGGCCCTAATGTCGAGAACTACCCATTTACATACTACTATGTTGAAACGACATGCAACTACCGAAGCTCTGCAGAACAGCCCGTCATAGAAATCTAAGTCCCGAGCCCCTGAACCCGAAACTCTATACACTGAATCCTAAACCCTCAAACCTTCCAATACGCCTTGACCAAAAGTATGCCTTAGAATAAAGACCCTTACACTATAGTAGGATCCCGAATATGAATTGAGGCCAATTCCTTATAGGTCAGGAATATTCGAAGATCTGGGCCCCCCCAAACCCTGAACCCTAAAGGCTAAAGCCAGAAACCCAGCAGGAGGACCTCATCAGACTTCCCGCCACGTGCATTTTGCGCCAGCCTGGCTTTAGGATTTGGGGTTTAGGGTCTAGGGGTTTAGGATTTAGGGTGTTGGGGGTTAGGGTTTAGGGGTTTAGGGCTTCGGGTGTAGGGGTTTACGGTGTTGGGTTAGGGGCTTGTAAAAAAAAATCTGCCAGTTGGCAGGAACCTAATTTCAGGTAGCAGTTGCATAGTTTGCATTTGAAGACGTTGGCTTGCCTTGTCCTAACCCTAAACCCCACATCGTAAACCATCAGCCTCTACCAATGACACCCATAAGGTATACACTTTGCAGCACCCCTACCTGATAACAAGAGCAACAGAAAATGAAAGTAGAAGCACTGAAGCAGACGTGCTCGTGCTCTCAGGCATATCCCAAGAGCGTAGTGCACGTTCAAGAGGCCATTGGTTCACGGAGTTCTACAATTCACAACGATTATCGCACTTGGCTGCGCCCTGATTAAGAAACCCTGGGCCTTTGTTGGGGTGCTTAATATGAACCCCCCAATATACTGGGGTTATACGGCCAGGGTTTCTTAATCAGGTTCCTACATGAGGGCTTCATTAGGGTTATGGATCCTAAACCCTAAACCCTAAACCGTGTAAGTTATAGGGCTTAATCAGGGTTCAGGGCTTGGGGCTACTGTTGTCGGGTTCGCAGGGCTTCTGAGGCTACGGTCGATGATATAAATCCTGCATGACCCCGACTAAGGAATGCATTATAATTCCCCGAGTTTGGGGTCTTTAAGGTTATGCAGGATCTATATCATCAGCAGTAGGACTAGGAAGATTTGTAGTCTGGCTGCGTCGACATTGAGATCCCGCTTGTACCAGGGCTCTTCATTACCCCGCACATGTGGGGTTTCCCTAAACCCTAAACCCGTAAATCTCTAAACCCTAAACCGTGAACCCTGCATCCCAAACTGGCTACAAACCCTGAACCTTAAGCTGGCTATGTTGGTCAAGGAGGTGAGCGATAGTGGAAGGAGGCCAAAAGGAAGATGCATGTCTTCATTAGGAGGACCCTTGGGGAAGTAGACCCTCTCAGTGAGGTCACTTTTAAGAGAGCCATAAGTAGGGCTAAGCAGGGTCCTCTTTAAAGGGGCCTCCCTAACAATACTACCTAGGACATTAACAGCGGCCTAAACTAAACACTTAGACTAAGATCGTTGTTGCATGGCTTACCCCGTAGATTGTAGTATCCAAAGTTTCTAAAGCCTGAACCCTCAGGACTAGTATTACTGGGCGTCTTTCGCAGGGTTTCCGGGGTTGTGTGTTTTAGGGCTCATGGCGTCAATGTGATAGGCCGGGCTACAGGAAATGTGGAGCTTTCGTGCGTCGGGTTTAGCCGTGATTGTGATAGAGCATAGCCAAGGGACAACTTGGTCCCTAAACCCTATTCCCTAAACTATGCTTAAGGACTTTAGCCTAAAGGGTCTGGGGGTTGTAGCGTTTAGGGTATAGCAGGGGCTTTTCGAGGGTACTACAGCTAATACACCGGCTGCTAATACTTACTTAACTGCATGCTTACTTGCTTACTTGCTGGCTTGCTTGCGTACCGACACGGCGACGCCTATGACTATGATGTTCACTATTTGCTCTCAGAATTAAGACTTTCATAAGGCCCTACTGTCCAAAAAGCTAGCCCATCAAAGTCCAAGCACACATCCTCAGTTCATTCCGGAAACCCAATATTCCTATGGGTTTCAGGTTTAGGGTTGCTCTAACGGTTTAGGATTTAGGGAAACTATAACATACCCCAAAACCCTAAGGGCCAGACATGGCTTTCATCTTCTCCTCCATCGGCGACGGCATGATGACCTAGAGAAGCTTAGCCCAGCCCCTTTAGGGTTTCAGGGTTTGGGGTTTAGGGTTTAAGGGCTTATAGGTTTAGAGTGCAACGAATCCAAAATCCTCCAAGAAACCCGAACTGCTGAGTACTAAGCCCTCAATTCTCCCAAGCTAGTGCGTTGAACTCGCACCAGGTTCTGGGCGCAACACAATTCCATGTAGGATTCAGGGTTTAGGGTTGTGGCTGTATGCCCCACGATGTTTTTTCACTAGCCCGAAATCTTAAGGCTCAGAGCATAACCCTACCATACCCTGCGCCAAACACCGACACCGTGAACTCCTGAAGCCAGAAAGCCGAAATCATGGAAACTTCAAGAAGCAGACCTGCCCACCTTCTAGAGTTTAGGGTTTAGGTTGTAAGGGTATAGAGTTTAGGGTTTAAGAGTTTAGGGCTTCAGGAACACAAAGACCCAAGAAACCTTGAGCCTGACTTCAGATTCTTCCGTTTGTCCCTGAGCCAAAGTAAGGGTTTAGGGTGTAGGGTTATCCCTCTATCAAAGCCTCAAAACTATTTGACGAAGGGCCCCCACCCAAGATCCTCGATCACAGCCTTAGAACTCTACATGGCTGGGTTTAGGGTTTAGCGTTTAGGCTTTAGGGGAGGCACTCTTTGAATCCCGACAGCCCTTGAGTCCATCTTCCAGAACCTACCGAGATCATCCAAACAAAACCTAAGTAAGGCATACTCCCTAAACCATGCTAGGCATGTGGAAAGATGCGCAGCGCTGACATTAATTAGGATCCTTAGGACCCTAGTTTATTATATCGCGAAAATGCTACAGAAGTATCTAGATGCAAACTTCATGCAGCGGCGCCCCATTTGGAAGGCGACACATGAAGCTGAACAGCTCTGAAGAGTAGCCTTTGGAAATCGTGCTTGGTTTCAAGATCAACGTGTCCGAGCCTATGAGAACGATGCAACTTGACTCGTTGTTTATGCCCGAGCCCCGGGGGATAAGGACGTGCCTGAATAACTATCCATCAGGGTGTTCATGCCCCGCCCCCTTTGCAATTGTTATTGCAGTTGCTGTGAAGGCCTTCTGTGAGCTGCGGAGAAAGCAAGAGAAAGCAGTATGTTACAGTATGTTGATTTTCGCAAATCAGCCGCACAAAGTCTGGACACAAGCTACATCTCTCGGACAGGTCGTTGCATCACCGGGGTCTCCCGTACAAGTTGCGCCAAAGCGAAGGCGCACGGGCTGTTGGCGGCTTGGTCGAACCTCCTCGCTGCCGGTCCGGGCGAAACTGTGAAACGGCACTGCTTCGACTACGAAAGCCTCTGAAGCAAGAGGATCTATATTCTTGGTCAAGCCCACGGAGGTCGAGGTGAACTTCCCGATACACAGCCCTGATGATCCCATAGAGACTCATGAAGATGCTGATGCTGAACTGGGTTGCGGCACCACTGCTCAATGAAGTCAGCGCTGTACCTTGTATGAGCATTGACAGAAAACTCTCCATCAGCCTCTCCGACTGCACGATCCGGAGGAGAACGTCGGTGCAATATCCCAGTCTTAGAGACTCTCTAGCAGAGGAGGCAACTGCAACAATGCCAACCCCCAGCTGCTGCAGTAAACTTAGCAAGAGTACGGCAGCCTGACAACATGCCAGGATATACTGATTGCTTTGAATCAGCGTGGCTAAGCAGCTGGCATCGAGCACCATGTCGATCGCAAGGTAAGCGATTTCGAAGAGTATACATGCTCGTGATGCGCATCTCGGAGTGCTCGCATCCTCCGATGACTCCATGCGTCGTAACATCCTCTGAATCTCGGACTGGACCTGAGCTTTCAACTGATCTTGATCAGGCTTCATGACAGCGAAGAGTACGTAGAGACAGAGCCACAAGGGTGGCGCGATCACAGCACAAAGGACCACGCTGGTGCGCTGCAGCAAAGCATGCGGGGCCCCATCGAGACCGGTGGAGCAGAAAATTGGCCCCAAACTGTAGCAAAGATTCCTGAGCTGCGATCACACGGCACGGAACATGACTCTTATGAACACCTCTGTATCATCCCAAAACTGAACTTGGGAAAGATATCCCCCAAACTAGCCCCAAACCCTAAACCTATAAAAAATAGCCCGAAGCCCTAAACCGTGGTAAAAACAGCGAGCTAGATTCGTATGAACGCCGGCCTTCTGAATGCAGTGGCAGGACCGGAGCCGCACGAGGCAGGCCTCAGCTCCCTCTGCCTTGGGGGACCCAAAAGACTGCTAAAAGCAGGGGGCCTTTCTACGGTGGGTTTTAGGGTTTAGGGTTTTAGGGCTTAGGGGGTTTAAGGGGTTTGGGGGGGCCTTATGCCACTTACACTTTGAATCCCTCATCCATTCTGAAACTAAGCAGGGGCCTTATGCCCTTACCACCATGAAACCCCAAACCCTAAACCCTACACCCCAAACCCTAAACCCTACACCCTAAACCCTAAACTCTAAACGGCCCTAAGCCCTAAACCCTACACCCTAGACCCTAAACCCTACACCCTGAATCTTCAGGGGGCCTCCCCGGCGGCGAGCAAGGCCTTCCGGGCCGCCTCCCCGCAGCCCAGGAGGGCACAGCCGAGAGCCGCCGACTCCTGAGCTTCCTGCAAGGAAGGCTGCTCCTCGCACATCGAGGGTAGAGCATCCCCTTTTTGGGGGGTTTTTGGTGCCCATTTTGGGTTTTTGGGTCTAGGGTTTAGAGGGTAGAGCATCCCATTTTTTGGGGGGTTTAGGGTTTCGGGTTTAGGGGGAAGAGCATCCCATTTTTGGGGGCTTTTGGGATGGTTTAGGGTAAATTAGGGTATAGAGTTTTAGGGTTTATAGGGTTTTAGTTATAGGGTTTCAGGGTTTAGGGTCTCCTCACACATCGAAGATAGAGCATCCCACTGAATGGCCAGGGAGACGAAGGCGAGGCTAGAGAGGAGCACGCGGAAAGTTGCCTCCCATGCACAGCAGCAGCCTTCTTCTGACACCGGCCCTTCTGAGAGTCCGAAAAGGGAAGTTCGCCTGGTGGTCGCAAGCATGGCAGGCTGCAGAAGCAAGGAGCGTAAAGGTACTTTCCGAAGCAACTTCATCAGAACGAGCAGCAAGAGGCCTGCCACATAGAAGTACTCGTTCATCAGGAACGGCAGTACCAAGATGCCAAAGCCACTTAAAATCTCAACAACCACATTCCACCACGCAACCCAAGACAGCGTCCTATAGTTCTGTTTCAGCACTAACTCAGTCGCGCTCAAGTGGAGGGCTAGTGGCAGCTGTGGCGGCATGTCACCCAGGGCAGCTAAAGCACGACCATGCTGGTATAGTACATGATCAGCTCAATATCTTTTTTTCAGAGGAGAGGGCATCTGTTAGGGTTTAGGGCTTCGGGTTTATGGTTTAGAGGTTTGGTCCTAAAAGACTACGGCGCCTTACGACGACCAGGCTCTGAATCAAGCAGTAAGAGCAGCCTTCCCTTCCCTTCTCTCTCTCACACACAAAACTGTTAATCTCGAGCCGAAAGCTTCGCAACACATTGATAGCCCAAAGTTCGCCCCTCCGTTTTGCAGTGTGCACGTCGTAGGGTTGTAACTAAGGCGACTCAGTGTCAGGGTTTAGGGTTTAGGGTTTAGGAAGTTGGGCCTTCAGGCTTGAGTGTTTAGGATCTATGGTTTCGTCTAGGGTCCCTAGGCCCTGCCTACAGGATCATACCCTACCCCTTTTTGAAAGTATTTAGCTTTATGGCTTTATGGTTGGCATCTAGGTAGGGTATGACCCGTTAAGTCAAGTAAAGCCCAGTAGGACTCAGGGGCTTCGATGGTTTTGGCCGGGATCTTCCAATATAACTTAATGAAGGAATGCATCTTCAATCATTTTCGGGATCTTACCATATTTCAAGTATCTTAATTGATTCAGGGATAGTGGGCGATCTGGGGACGGGTTCGCCACTGAGCCATGGCACGGCAACATGGAGAGGCGCGTCTTTACTTAGGGTCTATGGGGGGCCTGAATGATTTTGATGGGGTTGTTGGGGGGTATTGGTTAGTGCCACTGCTGATAGTTCAGACCTCTCTAGCACATCATCACAGGTGGTGAGCAAGCCAAGCTCAAACCTCTATACTGTGACCTGTCATGGAAGCGGTGGTAGCATCTGAAGCAGCAATGAGAAAGCAGTAGTAGTAGTAGTAGTCGTCGTCGTAGCAGTAGTAGCAGCAGGAGCAGCAGCAGCAGCCGTCGCCCTTCACTTCAAGCCCCGAACCCTACACTTGGGGAGTAGGGGCGCTACAGGCGGCGTTGAACACTCCGTGCCCTCCTGCACAGCATTGTCCAAGTTATACCCTAACCCTCCAGGTACCTACTACATAGGGCCCTAGGGGCTTTAGTACGCTCTAGACTTGGTACCTGTATGGTTTGGGATAGGGTTTCCGGCTCAGATCTACATTTAGGGTGGGGTTTGGGGTTTATATGGTTCCAGGAGGGTCCATCTGTGCTACGAGTATTATGTCAAATCCCCAACACCATAACAAGGATTGTCTTTCGCTTTTGCGACCTAACTCCAAAAGTATCGTAGTATGTATGGCATAGTATGGATCCTTTAGGATTCAGTTGCACATTCAGCGTATGAAGGCAAGCTTCGTACGCAAAAATGCAGGTATGCTTATAGTTCTACAGATACTCGAAGGCGGGCCTGTCAAAGCCCTGAGCCCTAACCCCAAAGCCTATGATAATTACGACCCGTCAGGTACACCGAAACCTCCAAATCTTGGGTAGCTATCAAACAGAAAAAGTTTAGGGTTTAGGGGGAATCCTATATACTACTCTTAATACGGTATAGTTTGGGACCCCAATGCAGGCCCTAATTTGGACAACCACCTGAGTGAATCCTATCATCTCGCAGAGCCTCGGGCTCGCACCGAAATGTGTCGCCGTCAGGGCCGATCTCGTGTGAGCTAGGACTGACTTTGGGATGCTCAGACCTCGGCGCCCCTGGAATTTGGGTAGGTAGCTAGACTTCTAATACTGTTTCCTCAGGTACAACTAGACTCAACTTAAGCACTTGACGTGAACTCTTAGTCTTAGCATTTCAACTACCGGTCAGTGCCCTAAACTCAAGTCGATCCCTGGCTGCGGCAATGTCAACGTAGCCTGTGCACCAGAATACTTGCATGACTTGGCTCGGGCCTGCGTGGGAGCGTCAGCAGTTCAGCATTTGGCAGCCCTTAACCCCAAACCCTAACCCCCAAATCCCTATAAACCCCCAAACCCTAGAACCCTTGAAGTCTCTAGAAGCCGCTGCCCAACACCTAGGCTCCACGAGCCGAAGGCCCTAAGTCGCAAACCCTCCGCCCTAAGCCGCTAAGCCCTGTTTAGGGTTTAGGGTTTGGGGATTAGGGTTAAGGGGTTTAGGACTAAGGGGTTTAGGGTTTAGGGTTTGTTAGGGCTTGGGGTCGAGGGGCGCTATGGAGTATACATACTCTAGGGAAAGGGTCTTTGACTGACTATTCAGGCTCCGATTCTGGGGTTTCGTGGCTCGCCAATTCAGCATGACACCGCCTCATCTAACGCCCACTAAACCCTCTTCTAGACCCGCCTAAACCCAAAACCCTGAACTCCTCAGTAAATCCTAACTCAAAAGCCAAAAACCCTAGGTCTTTGAACCGACACCCCAAGCAAAGGATCCTTCATCCACCCATCGGGCCCCGATATGCCGTAGCGGAACTTCTCAACGCAAAGTTTCGACTAATCGCAACAGTAGCAATAATGCTACAGTGACAACTATACCTATTCTACTTAATTTAATGAAGACACGGTCAAGATGCAAATTCGCAATGATGGTACAGTAGCAATCTGTAAGAACAGCCAACAGGGCAGTCGCAATGAACACAGTAACCCATTCTTAAAAGCAGCGGCAAGCAGGAGTAACGCTTAACATCCCAAAATAGCCATGGTAAACAAAAAGAGAAAAGCACTGATGCACACCGCTGCTGCTTCGTACAAAAAAACCTTTGCAAACAGCACGAAAGCCCAGCCCAGCAGCCAGTGCTTTTATAGGCCCTGGGTCTAGCATTAGAATTTCCGGCTGCACAACCTAAACCCTACCTGGACCCGGAAAGTATGTAGAATAATAGACTTTTTGGGTTTTGGGCCTTCATATCACCTACTTTGGGGGGTGTTGGTAAACCCTAAACCCGGGCTACGCAGTAATCCCTTTGCCCGAAAGCTATCCAGCCTTCACCCTGACGCCCAGAGCCACCGACCACTGCCCTTGATAATGTTGCAAAACGGGCATAAATTATTACCTATACTATTTGGGGGACTCCTTATGAAAAGTGTAGTACAGAAAACATATATATTTCTATACACACACACCAAAACCCCATTCCAATTCATTATTAAAGCCCCTATATGACCGTGAAGCGACTGCTCGGCCTCACGTCTGAATGACCGGCAAGCAATCCATCTCCGGAAGAACGCTCCATAAGAACTACGCCCCTAACACCCTGACATCCCAGGGTCTAGGGTTATATGGGTTTAGGGTTTAAAATCTGGGGTTTAGGCCTATATAGTGCCTCTCACAGCGGCAAAAGCATATGTCCGTTGGACCTGCAGGCTTTGCATGTGATCCTTATACTGGATGAGGGCGTTCATGTCCAGGCCAAGGACCTTCGATCTTGAATTATTCGAAGTTTAGGGTTTGGGGTTTAGGAGGACAGTGGCTCACCCACTTTTAGGCAGGACTGGACATGATGTAGAACTATAAGCTCGAAGGTGTGCTAGTACGCCTGAGTCGTAGCAGGCAGGGATCGCTGGCTGCGGTTTGGTGATTTGCCTTGTCGCCTCCTGGGTGGGGATCCGGGCAAGACTAATTAAACGTCTTCGAAAGCCAATCGTAATTCACGGTCGGTCACATGTGCGAGGTTGATGGTGTGTGTATATCTTTAATACCTTCAGGAGCCTTAAGGGTTTCGGGCTATGGAGGATGGAGCAACATTGCCAACTATT